TCTGTCAATGTCAGGAATGAGAGAGACACAGATGAATGAGTACAGCTCGAGACTTGTGTTGTGTGACTACTGGCTGCTGTGTATTTATCCATTATATATCTCAATCTACTGATCTTATAATTTAGACATTTGCAAAAATTTGACTATGTTCATTGAACAGTTTCCTTATTTCTATTTATAGTAACTGTACAAGACAGTTCCAAGAACACAAATGGGTTTCTTGCATTTGAAACCATGTTTTGCAGATTCATTATATTCTTAAGTAGCAGACAGGTCTATAATAACAAAATTCATGGTGCCAAATATTAAATGAAACTGGCTTTACTGATGTGATGTTATATGACTAAAAAAATGTTAGAGAACAGGGATTTTGTTAAACTATAGTCCAAGTCTATTAACCCGTTTGTTTGTACCCACCTATGAATTTCAATAACGAAAACCTTTAATTTGATAAAAAGTGAAGAAAACTTAGTAAATTCATTCATTGATTTCTATTTTCTAACCAGACTGTGAGTAAAATGGTCATAACACCGTCATTGTCTGCAAGTTTCATGCTTAACAAAAGTTTTCAATATAATTATAGACATACATGCACGTGAGACCCATTTCCAGTTCCTGGACCAGTCCATTTGCAGCAAAGGGGTGTATGCGCGACTAAAGATGTACATACATGTGTTGTCTGCATCCGATATTTACAATGTCGAATCAAGCAAAGGAAAAGAATGACAACAAAAATTTTCCTTTCACGTGAATTTAACAAGCAGTTTCATTAATGTAATCATGTATGCAAAGGAATATAATTCCAAACTCAATGCTATGGTAATTTACGGAATTATCCAGCATTTACTGAATAGGATGAATTACATCATTATATTGTCTGAGGGAAATAAACTACTCCATAGTGTACGGAATAAGTATGGAAAGTCCGTTAATAATGAAATGTGAAAGGGGATGCCAGTATTAGTGCCATTCTGGACACAGGTTAGAATTATAAATCAATGATTCAATTGACTTAGTTTTGTGCACTTTTTATCATATCAAACATTTTTGTTATTGAAATCAGTACAGGGTACAATGAAATGGGTTTATAGACTCGGACAATAAAGAACATGTTGCATCAGGAAAAGTACAAATGAAGAGCACTTGACAAAGTTTGAAAAAGGTATTAAACAGTCATGACAGCGTCCAGAATTAACAGACCTGACTTTATGACCTTTCCATAATTTTAACTGACTGCAGATTCAGGTAAGTAGCAAAAATAAATGTATGTTTTTCATATGGTTTTCTGTAGATTTTGTTAAGAATTTTATATGCTGCAGATCCTGGTAAAAAATTAAACTGAATGTACATTTTTCAACAGTGTACTGTAATTATGACATGTAATATATATATATATATATATATATATATATATATATATATATATATATATATATATATATATATATATATATATATATATATATATATATATATTATGCTTTTTGATGCTCAGATTTTGCTTTTATGCTAGTTACTGTCAAACCCACTAATATCAACTTCAGTTATCTTGAGAACCCGTGTATGTAAAGTGTTTTGGTTTGGTCCAAAAAAATCCTTCTTTGTTATGCCATTTTTTTCCCCGCTTATCTCAACTTTGTTAAGTCAAGATAATCATGTTTGACTGTATATTAGTAACAATTATGCTTATACTTCTCAGGATGTAATATAATTTTCCTTTGATTGGGTACTGGTTTAACTGATCATAGGATTGACATGTAGCCAGTTGACTTTTCATAAAGTTTTGACAGCATTAATTGAGAGCTATGTTGTGGTTGGACTTTCTCATCAAATTCTAAAATTAACCAATAATAACAGTTTAAATAGCTATAAAAATTTGAAATTTAACAAAAGCTGAATTTATGACAATGATTTTATTATCCCAAAGTTTGTATGCCAGTGTTATGGCAATTTATATCTATGCATTGTATTTGTAGAAATGACACATGGATCTCAAACCATCTAAAATTTTCATCTTTGATAACTAAACTGGCCCTAATTATTCGATAGAAAGGTTTAAACATATCAGTCCTAATTAAAAGACATACTATGAATTCTTATTTTGTTAACAAAATAAAATGTGTAATCATGCTATAAAATTTGTGCCATAATGCTATAAAGCATATGCCATGAAGCTATAAAATTTGTGCCATGATGCTAAAAAAAATCGGTGCAAAGCTGCTAGTAAATATGTGCCATAATACTAAAAGTATAAATCTGAGTCATGATGCTAATAAGTGCCATGATGCTATTAAAATTATGCAATGATGCTATTAAATTTGTGCGGTGATGCTATAAATGCTGTACTATGATGTTACAAAATCTGTGCCATGATGCTATAAAGTCTGTGCCATGATGCTATTAAATCTGTGCAATGATGCTATTAAATCTGTGTCATGATGCTATTAAATTTGTGCCATGATGCTATAAAGTCTGTGCCATGATGCTATAAAGTCTGTGCCATGATGCTATTAAATCTGTGCCATGATGCTATTAAATCTGTGCCATGATGCTATTAAATTTGTGCCATGATGCTATTAAATCTGTGCAATGATGCTATCAATCACCAGCAGGACTTTCTATTTCACAGCCATCTGTCCCATTAGGGTTATTCTTTTCCACAAATGTAACATTCCCTATCTTCAGGATACTGGCCACAAGAACAAACACCAAGCTAATTTCCGTCTCAGTAAATCCAATCACCTCCATGCCATGCTGAAAAATTACAAATCTGATTTTAAAAGCTGGTTGATCAAACAAATACATGCAATACATTAATTGACTGTGTATAAACTCAACTTTTTCAAGCAACAACATCCTGTGCGCAGAAAAACAACAAAATTTAAATAGCATAAAAACAGCAACATCCCATGAGAAAAAACACTGGCCTTTTAAGATTGCTCTCATAAAAAACATTCAGTTGAACTAAAATTTTAAGAGACTCTGATAATTAGATAATGACAAGTGATTGCTTATAATGTAAATTTTACTAAATTGTAGGCAAACATAAGAGAATACAATATTTTCAGTTTAATTATGACCAAATAACATGAAAGTCTTTTGATGGGACTGACTGGCAAAATTGAAATTTTGAGAAATCCAAGATAAAACCATTTCTTCTATTTAACTTGTTAGTACCAAAACCGAATCTGCTATTCTTTAAAAACTCAAACATACCAAACTCTGTATTAAAACTACTTTCTTATGTGCGAGTTAATATGTTCACAGGATATATGTAAGTACATTCAAAATTCTTTGCTATGGACTTGGACACCAAGTTACAGATAATGAAAAGATTTCTGAACTTGTCAGACTATTTTAAGATAAATCAGAATGCTAAATATATATATATATATATATATATATATATATATATATATATATATATATATATATATATATATATATATAAAGGTAAGACTTTTTGGAGAAATAAAACCTACTTACTGTTTAAGTGAAAACATTCAAGGTATTCTTAGGATGTACCCCTAAGTTAAATGACGAAAATTTATTCACTTTTGTTCCTGACAGTTATCATGTGTACATGCCAGTACAACTAAAACCCTATGATAAGTTGTTGTTGTTTAACACCAATTTTCAGCACAAGATAGGGTAAGGCAGACAGTATAAATGGTGGAAAATCCGGAAAGAAACACCGCCCCACAAGAAGCTACATGCAAGCCGAGCTTGAGACTCAAACCCATGCAGACAGAGGTCCCTAAGTCAAGACCTTTAACTAAAGTCAAAACCTTTGAACTAAAGTCATGATCTTTGACCTCTGAACTAAAGGTCAATGTCAGGGTCTAACTATCAACATTTTCCTGGAAAAAAAGTCTTAAACATATTACAACCATTTAGGCGAAGTCACCATAATAAGATTTACAAGATGACTACCATATTAGTCATGCAGTGTCAGATCAGCACTGAGGACTAACCAAACATGATAAGAAGTCTTTTGATGAAAATTCCAGTGGGAATGATGCTGGATGTCCAAAGGGCACCATTTTCATCTATCACCAACTGGACTGCAGGATGAATGTGTTTGCAAAATTTTGTGTCAATCCTCAAATTAAATTTTTGAGTTGAGATAAAGAAATTGTACAATCAAATATCAACAAAAGGCCAGTTCATAGGCTCTTCTAGTATATGTTCAGCTAAGCTAATGATATATGGCTAAAATTATTTGCAATTATGAGAAAATGTTCAAAGTGTGGAGTCCTTGGGAAACCCAATCTGTAGAACAGTCGGATGAAAGTGACAAAATAAGTAATTATTAAGTTCACAGAGTAAAAACTGTTTATAACATTCCACGGAGGAGGGGACCACACAAATGAAATGTGAGAACCAATTAAACATTGTAACAAAGGAATGTTGTAACAAAGCTCTTGGAATACGTTCATGTAGCAATTAGGAATTTGGCTGTGGAAATTAAATGTCTTAAAGAAGAAATATTACATCCAAGACTGTAATAAACAATCCTTATTCTCTCTCTCTCTCTCTCTCTCTCTCTCTCTCTCTCTCTCTCTCTCTCTCTCTCTCTCTCTCTCTCTCTCTCTCTCTCTCTCTCTCTCTCTCTCTCTCTCTCTCTCTCTCTATATATATATATATATATATATATATATATATATATATATTGACAATCATAATTAGGTGGGACTTTTAAAGAAAAGCAAGGGCAATTAATCTATCAAATAGGTGTGTGTGTGTATGTGTGTGTGTGTGTGTGTGTGATTTGGATTTTTTCTTAGGTTCAACAATTTTTCAGTCATAGCGCTATGATGTCTGTAGTGTGGTAGTTTATAGTGATGTTTGGAACTGAGACATCAAGTCAAAGACATGTGGCATTATGTCCCAACCAGTTACATTATCCTGATACCAGGTTAACCATTCCTATCACTATCTTCTTAATTCTGAGCATCAAGCAAGGCAACTGTTAGTAACATTTTAAAAAGTCTTTAGTATAACTTGACCAGGGTTCGAACCTGCAACCTTCTGTGTCTTAGGCAGACACTTAAACCACTTAGGCCACCAAAACAGTC